GGGGGGGCGGGTAGTAGCTCAAGTTATCTGCTTCAACTCCCTGCCTTCAAATAGGGTTTTATTTCTCCTATTTTCAGCTAAGGCCCAGAAGGGTTAAAGTGAGCTAAAATTAACGTTGGCAAGTGCTCCAGTTTTCCAATGTATTTGCTCCCTGTTGTGGGGAGTGTCTGAAAATCGGGTAGAGGAGAGTTCTTGTGCCAGGTCTTGAGGAGTCTTCTGGTATTTGCCTTAGTTCTTTGGAGTTTGGTAGGTCTGCTGCCTCCTCCCCACCTCTCCCCCACCCCATTCTGGATTTAGGAGTCGTGGTATGTAAGAGCTGGAAGGGGTCTCACAAACCATCTGGTCCAACTTTGATACCTGCCTTTCCTTCTTTCCTATTTACCTGAACCTTAGAAAGAGGAAGTAAGTTGTCTAAATTCAAAGCCTGCCTTAGTGGCAGAATCAAAACTAGAATTCCCACAGTCTTCCAGTTCAGTAATATTTTTATTTCTACCGTACCTTGCCACCTCTTAAAAGGGCACTAAACCACTTACTCAGGTGTTAAGATCAGGTATACTGAGTAATTGGAAATCCAGAGGAGTAGTCCCAGTCACACTCTGTTCCTCAGGTTTACCATTAAAAGGATGTCAGGTTTTGTACACGGATGTACCAGTTCTCATAAGTTGCCACTTTTATTTTATTATGGTTTACTCTTCTGTAGCTATTACTTGATTTCATTTCTACTCCAATTCTTTTTTTTTTTTTTCATGTCTGGCAACGGATTGCAACCCTCAGTGTCGCACCCGTACCGGACCGGGACCGGCAACGGGATCGCAACCCTCGGTGTCGCGCCCACATCTCGCTCAGCCAGTGAGCGGGAACCGGTCTGTATGTGGGATCCGAACCCTCGGTGGGAGCGCCACTGCGCTCCCAAGCGGCGCACTGTAGCAGTGTGCCACCGGGCCGGCCCCTCTACTCCAATTCTTAATGAGGAATTGTTGGCAGTTCCTTCTGTGAGGGAGTTTGCAGAACTTGGTTTATACTGTATCTCCTTTTTACTATAAGGGAATGGAAACATAGCAAGGTTAGGGCATTTGTCTTAGATCACAGGACCGGCAACGGATCGCAACCCTCAGTGTCGCACCTGTACTGGACCGGGACCGGCAACGGGATCGCAACCCTCGGTGTCGCGCCCACATCTCGCTCAGCCAGTGAGCGGGAACCGGTCTGTATGTGGGATCCGAACCCTCGGTGGGAGCGCCACTGCGCTCCCAAGCGGCGCACTGTAGCAGTGTGCCACCGGGCCGGCCCCTCTACTCCAATTCTTAATGAGGAATTGTTGGCAGTTCCTTCTGTGAGGGAGTTTGCAGAACTTGGTTTATACTGTATCTCCTTTTTACTATAAGGGAATGGAAACATAGCAAGGTTAGGGCATTTGTCTTAGATCACAGAATTAACAAGTGACGACCAGACACTTCTCATGGACAAAGGATTTGACATGGCATAAACTGAGCTGCTCATTGTAGCTCTCTGAGCCTCAGTTTCCTTGTCTGTGAACTTTCACAGGGTGGTTGTGGGGATTGGGAGAATATGGCTGTGAAAGTAGTAGTAGTAGTAGTAGTCGTAGTAATAGCTAACACTTTAAGTACTGAATTTGTACCACGAGTCACTGGACTGAGCACTTTCCATGGAGGACGTCATTTAATCCTGAGAGCAACCTATGGATTAGGTACTGTTATTATCCGCCCCCCCCCCTTTTTTTTTTTAAAGATGACTGGTAAGGGGATCTTAACCCTTGACTTGGTGTTGTCAGCACCACGCTCTCCCAAGTGAGCAAACCGGCCATCCCTATACAGGGATCCGAACCTGTGGCCTTGTTGTTATCAGTACCCCTCTCTCCCAAGTGAGCCACAGGCCAGCCCCTTATGATACCTATTTTACAGAAGACACAGGTTACATGAATTGCCTGGGGTGATGTAACTGATAAGTGGCCAAGCCAGGATTCAAACTGCAGACAGTATAACTTTGAAGCAGGCATGCTTTTTTTTTTTTTCCTTTTTGTCTTTTTCCGTGTCCGGCAACGGATCGCAACCCTCAGTGTTGCCCCCGTACCGGACCGGGACCAGCAACGGGATCGCAACCCTCGGTGTTGCTCCTGCGCCTCGCTCAGCCAGTGAGCGGGAACTGGTCTGTATGTGGGATCCGAACCCTCGGCGGGAGCGCCGCCACGCCTCCCAAGCGGCGCACTATAGCAGTGCGCCACCGGGCCGGCCCGTGAAGCAGGCATGCTTTTTGTTAATTGTGGTAATATATATATATAAAAAACATAAAATTTACCATTTTCTTTTTTATTTCTAAAAGTTACTGTTTTAACTATTTTTAAATGTACAGTTCTGTGGCATTAAGTACATTCACTTTGTTATGCAACCATCACCACCTTTCATCTTCAGAACTTTTTATCTTCCCCAACTGAAACTCTGTACCTGTTAAACACTAACTCCCCATTTCCTCCTGGTAACCACCATTCTACTTTCTGTCTTTGAATTTGACTATTCTAGGAACCTCATATAGGTGGAATCCTACAGTGTTTATTCTTTTGTGACTGGCAAAGCTGGCACGTTTAGTGCCTTCCTTAATCTCAGAGTGCTGTGTAAATGCAAAATGATGGTTAAGTCCACATCTGCAGTGAGGTGTGGCATGCAGCCTCAGAGCAGGAGCCCAGGCCTGGTTATATCTCTGGTTAAGCTTTCTCCCTCTTTTCTCTGCTTCTGTGGGTTGAAGTGTTGTTTTTTGTTTTTTTTTTTTTCATCACTGAAGCCTTTTTTCCATCTCTGCTAGCCCTCTCTGTCTTAAGAAGAGACCTCCTGCCCTTGAAATAGAACCTAGACAATGCCCCATCCTTACCTTGTTTGCATCTACTTTTCTTTTTTTTTTTTTCCATGACCGGCAACGGATCGCAACCCTCAGTGTCGCGCCCGTACCAGACCAGGACCGGCAACGGGATCGCAACCATCGGCGTTGCGCCCGCACCTCGCTCAGCCAGTGAGCGGCTGGTCTGTATGTGGGATCCGAACCCTCGGCGGGAGCGCTGCCGCACTCCCAAGCGGCGCACTATAGCAGTGCGCCACCGGGCTGGCCCTGCATCTACTTTTCTGACCATCTAGGGTTTGGGGCTGCAGTGATCAGGAATAACAGTGCTATGACAGCAGCTTGGATCAAAACTACTCAGGATGATTAAGTAGATTACCTTATGACATGCTTCCTCTCTGTGCCCTCCTCTTTCCATAAAGACACACAGGAGGGATTAGCTTTTGGGTTCTTACAGGGTGTTTATGAATCCTCACTGCTTGCATGTGGTTAAGATGGAGTTAGATGCTGCATTTAGCCTTTCAAAATTCCCTTTGGTTCAGCTGTTTTTGTGTCTGTATTTCGGGGGGTGGGATGTTTATGTTTATGAAAGGTGGTTGGAATTTTGTCCTGATAGCAACAGGGGATTGGGATAGAGAGTGTTGT